TTAAGCCACCGGGTCAGGGACTTGAAACGCAGTCCACTACATGGGAGTTGAGCAACATAGCCTTTATGCTAACTGCTGGACCCTGTAGGTCATTTTAAATGAGAGAGTTCACCATCACCTAAAGCTCAGAATCAGAAAATTAGGGCTCTTTTCTTTTTCTCACCCCAAATCTACCTTTCTTCCTCCTGCCTTTCCTACATACTTTTCCCTCAATAGTGTCACATGTATAGCTATTTCTTTGCAGACTGCATTTTTCTTCTCCTAGCAAAATAAAGAAAATAAAATAGTTATGCATTACTTTATGTCAAATATCTAGCCTCAACCCAGTGTCCAAAGAAAATCTGTGTTTCTCTCTATAGCAATGGTTACTTTTTCCTGTCATTGTTTTTTATCTCCATTTTACAGAAAAATCCTGTTATAAACTAATGTTATCAGTTCTTATGCTTTGATCTTCAGTCTAAGTTTCTTTCTCACTAAATTCATTGGAGGATATGATAATTTTGTTTGCCTACTAATCCAACAATTTTAATGATATCAGCCCTTCAAATTGAAAGCCAGGTCATTAATTCTTGTGTGGGGGTAGCAAGAAACAGAAAAATTAGAAATTGCTTTCAGTTTTAGGGCAATAACAGCCTACTATCTATTGCATTATAGGAGAGGACTTCAATACATTAGCAGAAGATGGAGTTAAAATAGAGCTTATTTTGGTGCAAACAATTTTGCAACCCATGCATAGTTTTTCCGTAATACACATTTTCCACAAACTTTTGGAAGTCCCTTTGTACAAACAGAAGAACTCAAAAGACACTGATACAGAACCACAGCATACCCAGTATGGCTGGGTCCTCCCTCTTTTTTAATCTAGTTTGCTCTTTTTGTAAATCTGTCACATATGTTACTCCACAAGCTCTGTGATACCTAAAGGAACAGTTTCTAATTTAAATCTGATCTAAAATCTTCAAAAATAGCCAAACAGTACTCCCAAATGGCCCTATAAGTGGTGCTTCTATTCACCCAGCTATTCTCAGATTACCCTTTGTGATTCATGCTTAAGCTTAAATGTCCAAAATCTGTTTATACTATAGATAATAAATAATTGCACACTATCAATTTTAACTAAAACTCGTTATCTTAATACTCAAGGCCTCAATCTCTTTTTCTAATCTCTTTAAACAATTTATTGTAAAACAAAACATAGGTTTGCAAAATCACACACACGTTTAACTTGATATGTCTTATAAACCTTTTAAAAACCCTTTAGAGTCCCAAGCTCCATTTCTTTATTTTCCATACTACAATTTTTTAGGGGAATAACAAGCAACTCATAGTATCTTCAAGGTCGTCCATTTTTTTCCCTTCATGAGAGAGAGACTGGGGGAAGTGGAGAAAGAGAGATAAATACCCACTACAGAGTCTCACACAGTGACCCTCTCCTCAGCTTCTGCCAGCCTACATCTTGCACATGCCACATGCCAGGGGTGCACAAGTCACCACAGGAAGCAAACCCCAATCTTCCACGTGGCTTCTGACGCTGCAAGGCAGTGTGCTACTTCTGTGTCACGGCAGCTATGCCGGAACCTTCTAACATTTGTCCTGAATTTGGTTATCTAGATTTGCTGATGGCATGCTGACAGTGCAGTTTAGCAATATTTCTTTGCCCTCTATATTCTCCAAAAATTGGTAGTAGTATCCAGAGACTTGATCAATCTCAGGATGGATCTCCTTGACGGTATGTTTTTCATTAGGAGGCACAAAACGTCTTTTCTCTTTTGTTGACATTGGCAGTGAAATGCAAAATACTTAGATGAATTCATTCTTCGGAGATGTAAAATCATGATATTTTAATTCCATCATTTGTTTTTATTTATCAGCTGGAACAATTTTATAAGGAGCCTCTGAAGTGTATCTACAGCCAGTCTCAGAACACTCTCTCTTTCTCTCTTAGGCAGCTTAGAAGTCTGGCATTGACTCTTGAGCAAGGTTAAGTACAATAAGATTTATAATGTTCTGTTTAAAATCCAAAACTTTCTGGGTGACCCCCAAGCCCCAGAGCCACCTTTTTTATTGATGATTTTCAACTGGCTTAATGGGTTAGATAGCCTGGTGATTATATGACTAGAGAGACATGAAAGACCTAGAAACTTCTGCCTTGACCTCTACTGAAACCAAGATTCATTTCACAGATCTTGGTGATTTTATCCAGAGATGTGTGTCTGTGTTTCAATAAGCCATGGAGAGCTTGCACTGAGAGCCTCGTGGATCGCCAATGTTTGCCAGAACTCTCTTCCTTTTTACACCATCCACTCTGAATTTAAATATTAGCCCTAAATGAGTATGTCCTGTAGAATCTTGAGTCTTTTCAATTATCCAAAATAAGGAAATGTTCCAGAGACACCTCTCATCACCTACTAGTTTTATATCCCCTGATTTATTTATATATAAAGGCAGTATCACTTTCCATTTCTTTTCTCAGATTTGCCCAGTTTTTAAGAGAATGAATTGGTTCCCATTCATAGCAGATAACCATTTTTTACATACATTTTTAACTTGCTTGTTTAAACATATTTAATAAGTTTAGATCGAGTTCAATGTTTACTCTTGCTGGAGTTCAAATAGTCCTATTTAACCCAATAATTCTGGACAGATTCCATATGACAAAATGTTCTAGAATCATGTTCTACATTTCCTGCTCTGATTTTTTGTATTAGTCAGAATTCTCCAGAAACACAGAAGAATAGGAAACAGATATATATGCAGGTATATGAAGGGAGATTTAGTAAGATGATTGGCTCCCATGATTACAGAGGCTGGAAAGTTCTATAATAGGCTGTCTGCAAGCTGAAGAACCAAGAAAGCTTCTATCAAAGCTCTGTCCAACTCTGGAAGTCATAGCACCATGGAAACCGATGGCCTATCTCTCAGTCTGAGACTGAAGGTCCAAAAGCCCAGGGCCCACTGGTACAGTCCTGGAGTCCAAAACCTGTAATTCTTACATTGAAGGGAAAAAAGAGATAAAGAACAATAATTTGCCTGTCCTTTGCCTTTTTGTCCCATCCAAGACCCTACTTGATTGGATGACAGCTGCCTACATTGAGGGGGGAATCTTCGTTCAGTCCATTTATTCACATGCCAATGTCCTCCAGAAACTGCCTCACAGACATACCCAAAAATAATGCTCTAACAGCTCTCTAGATACCTCTTAATCCAGTCTCACATGGTGTCAGCTATCACTCTGAAAGCACAATCTGGATTCTGGGTATGCTCACTGCTACTGGGTCAGTCACTTTCTCTTAGTTATTTCAGTGAACAGCATAGAAAATAAATTAAATATTAAGTGTATACTTCTATTTTGAATTAAAATTCAGGACTATGGGATATTTACTTAATGTCTCTTCCCAGGCTGAATACACAAAGCATTTTAATGAATATTTGAAGAGATTTATATTAAAAGGGGAGAAATTACTAAGTTTTGTATGTAAAGGAACTATAAAAGTTACTACAATGACCCAGAGTTTGTCCCAGGTGAGCTGTTACTACCCTAAGTATGAATGAGTGAAATGGTGCTATGGTCACTAGAACCCAGAAGAGAGGTGTCATGTAGAGTCAATTGTCCTGTTAGAAAACATACCACGGTAGAGGCACAGCCAGGCTAACCTTGCAGGGAGGGAGCCTGGGGCATTAGCACTCTGATCTCATTCTTCCCTCCTGATCTCCTTCCGGAACTCTGCACTGGATACATTGAAACAGAATTAGACAAGAGTGGGAGGCCTGTAAGAGGGAGAATTAGTGGATCTGGAGATGTAAATGATAAACATCTGTATTATCAAACCCGTTTAACTCTGAGAATGAACTCCTGTTTTTATCCATGTGAAAACTTCATGTCCCCTAAACAGAAGATGCACCAAATCCCATCAATATCATACCATGGACCTTGACAGTTTGGTCTACATCCTATTGTGCAAATCTACCACAGAACTGCTTCTTTCCACAGCCCAGTGCTTATTTTCTCTCTGCCACTACTTTTTCTCAATAAGGTTCTTAACACTATAGAATGAATCTGACCTTCAACAATTGCTTAGTGATTGTTCTTGTATTTATTTGTTTGAATGGTTGTCTATTATATAGAACTATTGAGGAAGTGAGTGCTCAGATACCTTAGTAATATTTCTAGATTACAGAAGTATATTTATTTGTTCCTATTATGTAACTACAGGCCAAATTTCCTCCCACAGTAGTTGGAATCAATTCTCATGGTCAATGTAATGGTAAATTTTCTTCTTGTTTTTAAAGAGTTTTTTGGCATAGGGTGCATGCAATGGCCGGAGAGAGAGAAAGACAGAGATAGACAGAAAGAAGGAAAGTGAGAAATAACCCTTCAGGGGGAATGGCCACACTGTAATCCCCTCTCCTCTCAGGATTTTGGGCATACACACACATGCGCCTGGCATGATTTTCAAGTCACAGGGTCCAGGACTTGGACTGCAGTGAATCATGTGGGAGTTTAGTGACCTAACCACCCATGCCAACTGCCCTAGATCCCTTCTTACATTTCTCTTTTTTTTTTTCTTTTTCGGGGTTCAAATGAGGGGGAGAATTTGCAGGAATCATGACCATTTTCCCTGGGTGAAGCTCTCCTCTCTTGGGTACTAGAATTTCAAAAACTACCAAATTTGATGTCATACAGAAGAAACCCTGTTGATATGTTCAAGTCATATTGGCCCTGAGAAGTAAGAGAAGAATAGGAAAAACAAAAACAAAAACAAAAAGACTGGAGAACTGATCTAATTGTAAAGCCAAAGATATGGCGAAATCCATGTTGTATGTATTGTTCTGTAATTTTTTACTACTTACTATGTTTGTCAATAGCTATTCATCAAAGGTAATATTTCAGTTACAGAAAGGTATTCCACTATGCAAATATGCCACAAGTATGTACTCAATTAGTGAATATTTCATCTCTTTTTTTTCTGTTTATTTTTCCGCTATTTGAAAAGAAGTTTGTGCTCACTTCAGCAGCACATATATTAAAATCGGAACGACACAGAGGAGATCAGCACAGCCCCTGCACGAGGATGATATGCAAATTCGTAAAGCGTTCCATATTTTTGATCCATGTCTGCCCTTACAAATGGAGTTTATCCTCACAAATTGGTGTTCTAAGTTTTTTGCCAAGAACCTAATTAAATAGCTGATTTTATATATATATATATTTATATAAAGACGTTTTTATAAAAATATTTGTTACTAAGCATTTGCACCAGCTTGCAGCTATATCTTGGGTAAATTTGTAAAAACAGAGTCAAAATTCTAAACAGCAAACAAATTTTTAGTGCTTTGGGGATATTTTGCAAAACTGATCTCTGGAAATATGGTACCAGTTTACACTTCCTCCAACAACTTTTTTTCACGCTTTTGCCAATTTTGGAAGCATAAGCAAATCTTGATTAAAAGTATGGGCTCTGATGTTAGATTTGACGGTATCAAAACCAGACTCCTCCACTTTGTGACTGAAGGCCAATTGCTTACCCTGTCTCAGCTTCATTGTTCTGTGTATAAAGAGGGTAGTTACAGCATCTACCTACAGGGTTTTTTTAGAAGGATTAAATAGGATGATGGATGTTTAAATTGGTGTTAGTAAATTTCTGCTAAAGAGCAGTGAATATTGTAACTGTAAAAATATAACTTTCCCAACTTGATAAAGATAAAAGTTACTTATTATTATTTTAACCTGAACCTTTTCAATAATCAACTTCATTATTTTTTCATTTCCTTACTGATAATTAAGGTTTATGTAGTGCACATTATTTTTATTTTGATGGTGTTTACTATTTAAATATTAAGGAGGATATCCCTATACTAGAGATATTTTATGTAATATGCATGTTTTAAATTACTTTCAGGTTGTCATTTCATTTTAATTGTGTTTATTCTCTTTTTTTTATGGTCATAGGGTGTGTACACTTGCTAGAGAGGGACAGAAAGAGACAGAGAAAGGGAAAGTGAGAAATCACCACCACCCTCTGGGGAAATGGCCACATGGTAATTCCTTCTCCATTATCCTCTCGGGATTTTTGGCCATGCACGCACACACACCTGGTGTGTTTTCAGGCTTCTGAGTCTGGAATGCAAATTGGGCAGTCAGTCGTGTGGGTTCCAGCTGCCTTAATCACCACACCACCAGCTGTCTCTGTTTATAATGATTTTAACACATATTTTCATATTATAAGTAATTGATTCTGCATTTTTTAAATGATTTATCACCTCATTATCATGCTTGGAAAGACTCTCTACAGTCTAAAATTATGTAAATAATCTTTACATACTTATGGTACATTTTAACTTATTAATTTCTTATATCATTGATATATCAATTTATTAGAGGTAAGTTATAAAACAGAAGATCTAAATATAATTTTTCTAAAATTACTAAAGCCTATACTAAGATATATGTTGTACAATATCTGATCAGATCACTAATTAGAATTACATCTTTACTGCATGTAAAATTGTCTATGTAAATATAGGCATAGAAATTGGAAACCTATTATTTTAATAGATTTCTAAAATACGGAAATACGAGGCAAGGTAAGAATTCCTTTATAATTTAACTGTTAAGCAATTTAATTATTTTTTATACTCTAGTATGTTTTAAATGTTGATAGGTCATAATCCATTTGTTTTTCTGGAAATTCATTTATTGGAATGTGACAAATATTTTCAATACAATAAATAAAAATATTGGGCAGTTGGAAAAGTCACAATGTACTTTTCTGTTTTTCTATGCAAAAAAAACACATCGTGAATTTTCCAACAGCCCAACATTTTATCCATTGTATGTATTTAGAGCAAATATTATTTTATGAAACTTTCATTCTGTGTGTATATGTGTTCATGCATGTGTGTGTTTATATGCATGTAAACAGCATCACGTTCCTAAATATGCTTCATACTCTAGATCTCAATGCAAAAAGATTTAAAGCCACAGCTGTAAAGTAAATTCTTCCAAATAATATTAGAAGAATCATATTTTTTCCAAGTTTCAATCTCCTTCACCATTTTTTTTTCCATGGGGGTTTTTACTGGCATTATATTAAGCACCAGCATCTTTACTTTCTATTCTAAAAGGCAATTTTGTCTAAAGTAGACTGCAGGCCTAATCCATTCCCATGACATTTTAATATTTTTCAATGTGTTAAAGAAATCTAATTTGGAACTAATATGGATTTGTCTTCTGTAATTTCTTCTCTGCATCTCTCTGAATTGTAGTCACTACTTGGTAAAGTAACACTTACTCATATTAAATTTACAGCTTCCCTTTGTATTAAGAAACACTTATTCCATTGGCATGTAGGTGAAAGCCATTTCCCATGCCAAATGGGTGAGCATCATATCCGGGCCATTTTTATCCTTGAGTTTTAAAAGGAACTGGCATATCACTGAGAAAAACAGTAAAGAGATACCACGTATATAGTTTCACACTAAGAAATTGAGAGAAAAAGGTGTTTATTTGTTACCTAGTATTATAGAAACTTGTGATAGGAAAGTAGTGTAGAAAACATAATATTTTATAATGTAAGACGAATGTTCATAAATTGCCTAACAGTTACACATGTTTTTTGGAATATTTAAGGCATGTCCAGTATGGTTTTAAGCACTTCATTTGCATTTTCTTATTTAAACTATGCTGTGAGTCTCCACTGTACAATGATGAAACCAATACTTATGAGTTAAGAAACTAACCAAGAACACAACACACACGGTAGGTCTAGGACCAGAAGCCATGCTTGCTGAATCAAGCATTCCACATGTTGCCCAATAGGCAGAAAACGAGTTGTTTCAAGAGTTCTATCATTTTGCCAATCAACAGGCAGAGAATATTTTTCTGTCAAGTTCGGAGCCCCCATTGGCACTCCATGTGCTCATGGCTGGACTGTATCCTGCTTCTTTCCCACCCAGCCAGCCTCGTTTTGAAGCCTTCTCTACTGTAGACATAATGGCTTTTTCTCTTTTTCTTGAATTCCTATTTTTCATTCAGATGATTTTTTTAAAGAATAAATGAATCATCTAATTGAACATCATATACAGAACAAAGCAAGACAAGTTGAATGTTTTCACTTTTCACTTTGGGGAAAAAAAATAAGCTTTTAGTCAAATCAACTTAAGAAACAGCTTGAATTGCAAGATAATACTGCTCCTATAAGTAATTGCTTATGTGCTTGTCCTATTCATAGTGGAAGAGCTATGATTTATGAACATTTTTATTTAAAGTATAATCTTGGATTTATTCCAAATAATTGTCATCTTTGAAATGTTGTCAACCTGGGCTAGCCACAGGGATGCCAGAATTAAAGTATTATATCAGCTCACCACATGGTTTGCCCATTGGGCTCAAGTACATTTTTATCCGTCTCTCTTTTATCACGTATTTTCTTACTTCACATTTATATTTAATCCATTGACTTCCGTGATTTCTTTTATACCAGAGAGCATGTAAAACACAGAAGAAAATGAGTAGACATATTCACTTAGCAAGAGCTTTCTTCCCAGTTTTTTTTTCTCTCTATCTTTCTGGCTGAAACTCCATTAGGCAAAAGTGCCCCTGGTATTAATCTAAGATGATTAGCTGTGAAGTGGAACACAAAAGCAAGCCTGGGGTGGAGCCATCTGAGAGTGGAAAGATACTTTAGAGCAAAAGGATCAAGAAGAGCATGAGTTTAAGAGGCAAACTTTTAAATAATACGAGGAGCAGGAAATAATGTTAGCTACAGCTGCAAACCAAATGGGAATATACGTATATTCACCAATGTGGCGATTATTACTAGCCTTGCATTAAATGGGCATAGCACCGAGAGAGCAATGTAAGTATATTTCAGTTTATCTTTTCTCTATTTCCTTTTAAAATAATATTCTCTTGACCTTTTTTTTTTCTGTTATACCCTTCAACGTATTATTCTAACACATGCCATTAACATCTTAGAGGCAAGCATTGCTTCTCAAATATACCAAGTGCTCCCCCAAATAATCCAGCCTACCTTGCAATTGTATTGGGCCTTGAGACCAGTCAATACCAATTTATCAGACATGACTTGTTTCACATCTAAGCTAAATGTTTATTTAAGAGCTAGTCTGCTATCTCTCTGGGAGAAGGCAACATCATATTACATAGGGAAGCTGGAATCCTGAGTCACCAGATGGAAGAGCACCTCTACTAACAAGCATCAGATTTCCCATGAATAATTGTTAAAACTGTGTATAAGTTACTGAGATTCTGAAGTTAACCTGTTCCTATAGTACATATAGTTTATACATTAAACTGCATTTTAAGCTAGCATATACAATAGTTCTCATTACCGATATACCAGCTAAGTAGAAAGAAAACATAAGTATTACATCAGAAGACTAAGACCTTACCGTTAGCTCTCTAATACATTCTTTCAAATAGTGTACCCATACTCTATTTACCTCTACTCTATTTGAAGAGTATAGATTGCCTACAGTATTTTTTTAAGAGGTTTTTGCTATCAGGCACATGCACTCACCAGAAAGAGAGACAGAGAAACAGAAAGCGAGAAATCACCCCCCAGTGGGGATGGCCACACCGCAATCCCTTTTCCTCCATTCTCCTCTTGGGATCTTGGGCATGCACACACATGCGCCAGGTGTGAGTTTAAGCCACTGGGTCCAGGACTCAAAACATGTTAGACTACATAGGAGTCCAGTGACAAAACCACTACATCAACTGCTGGTCCAACAGTATTTTTTTTTAGAGAGAGAGAGGTCAAGAGACAAAAAGATAAAAATCACCCCCTAGGGGTATGGCCACAATACAATCCCTTCTCCACTCTCCTCTTGGGATCTTGGGCATGCATGCACACGCATACGGTGTGAGGTTTTAAGTCTCTGGGTCTGGGATCCAAACCATGGTTGACTACATGGAAGTCCAGCAACGTAACCATTAGGCCATCTGCTGGTCCCCACCTAAAGTATTTTAATAATTGTTCTAGATATTCTCTGGGAATAGCGGACCAGCCAGATAATATTCCTACTCTCAGAACAAAACATAAGCAAACAAATAAGTCAGGTAGTCAGAGATTGATACGTGTTATA